ATTAGTTTGGAAGGTCAAGTAGTGCCTAGGAATGATACCTTTCGATGTTTAAGATCCATGCTACAGAGAGACGGGGATATTGATGAAGATGTTAGCCATAGAATCAAAGCAGGGTGGATGAAGTGGCGCCAAGCATCTGGTGTCCTATGTGACAAAAGGGTACCACAGAAGTGAAAAGGCAAGTTTTATAGCACGGCGATTAGACTTGCTATGTTGTATGGTGCAGAATGTTGGCCTACGAAAAGATGACATGTTCAATAGATAAGTGTCGTGGAAATGCGTATGTTGCGTTGGATTTGCGGTCATACAAGAAGGGATCGAGTTCGAAACGATAATATACGTAATAGATTAGGGGTAGCACCAATTGAAGAAAAGCTTATCCAACACCGGTTGAGATGGTTTGGACATGTCCAACGGAGACCTCCAGAGGCACCGGTGCGTAGTGGAATCCTAAGCCAGGATAGTAACGTGAAGAGAGGCAGAGGAAGACCGAAGTTGACTTGGGTAGAGGCAATAAAAGGAGACTTGAAAGAATGGAATATACCCAAAGACTTAGCCTTAGATAGGAGTGCTTGGAAAACAGCTATTCACGTGCCTGAACCTTGATGGCTTCTGCTGGGTTTCAACTCTAGCCTACCCCAACTTAAGGCTTTGTTGTTGTTGTTGTGGTGGTGGTCACAATCGAGTAAACTGATTCTCAACGAGTGAAATTCTACTGGAGAAATTAGCCACAAGAGTGAAAGTCAACAACAGTGAGGATTGAGGAATTAATGCAGGACGGAGTAAGCAGAGTTTTAGAGATCTCAGAGCAAAATAAACAAAAGCGTTATTTTTCAAAAGTATAGTGACCGGTCCATATCATACAAAGGAAATGCACTGTGTCCAATTATAGCCACAAAAATGTAATAGGAAAAAACAATTCATGAAAATCTCTAACTAAAAGCATGCTAAATCATTACAAAGATACCAAGAACATAAAGCTAAGTCGTATGTTTAAGCTGATTTCTAGCGAGCGTAAGAAACTGATTTTCAGTTCTAATGCAGGTTCAACTAAATTTTGCTGGTAGAAGCAGTATAAGTAATTTGCATTCTGAAAATTGATTCAAGATACAAGAGAACAAAGGGTCATGTGTTTAAGCTGATTTCTAGCGAGCGTAAGAAACTGATTTTCAGTTCTAATGCAGGTTCAACAAAATTTTGCTGGTAGAAGTAGTATAAGTAATTTGCATTCTGAAAATTGATTCAAGATACAAGAGAACAAAGGTGAGCAGTTAAAATAACCAAGTCAAACGGCATTATTCTTACCTGAAGTCATAAGGAAGACATCATGTCACAAAATGATTACACTAGCATCTGTGCTTTATTGTTCATCTTCGATATCCCGTTACAAAACGCTTGATGTCTGCAAAGTCTAAAACTGCTTTGACATTGTGAAAAGAAGAACTCCACTTTGTGCTTATCAAATCAACAAGGAACTCCGACTGTTTATCGCCATTTGTCTATCAAATAGATGCACAAAGGTATTTGAATGTCACATCCCTCTGGAACAATAATTTCAGTATAAATTTGAGAAACAACAAAAACAAACTGTACGAAACGAGTCCAGGCTATGTCGGATAACTGGGTTACGGTAATCGTTAAGGTATAAAACAACACTTTACATGTTTCATAGGATGATATACTTCCATAGGAGTTTCAGGCCTTGTAACAAATTCAGATGTTGCTTTACTAAATGATCAACTGATGAAGGGTGATACAAATTGAATTTCAAATTCAGCTAGACAGGAGAACATCTTGATAATAAAATTTGAGTTTCCTATAAGAGAACCATGCTGAACTCATCCTGTCACATTGGCAGCTAGTGTAACAGGCTTTGAGAAATGGTGAGAAAGATATTACCTCAAAAACAAAGAAACCCCCAGGTTTGAGAACTGAGGATAACCCTTCACAGAGGTGGAGCAGATGCTCAAGGCCATCCTTGCCACCGTCAAGCGCCAACTTTGGTTCATGCCAACCAACCTCAGGTTGCAGACCAGGTAGGTCATCAGTTGGTATGTATGGAGGGTTACTAATCACACCCATCAGTTTTCCTTTCAAATCTTCCAGAGGTTCAAACCATGAGCCATGCCTTATTTCAACTTTATCCTAATTCCAACACAGAAAAACTGTATTAATCACGACTTTCAATGTACTACAGCATGGCGTAATAAATTGAACTGTGCAGAAAAATAGCAAATCCAAGCTCGTTGATTCTCATCGTTTTACTTCATAGACTATTATTGACTCTAACTAGGGTGTGTAGCTCCCAAACTATTAAGGTTGATGTAGGGTAGGCTATCAGAAAATGAAAGATATAGCATGGGGTGAAACACAAATGTGTCATTTTAATTCTACATACCAGTTTAACACAACAAATGAACACACGATACTATCAGAAATTCACGTTTATGCTCGCATCCACCTTTGAGGTGGATGTGCATCGGGCATGCTTTCAGCATCGATTTGAGCAGCTGAGCATCTTTGAGCATCCAACTTAAAGGCTAAAAGGAACATCTTTGAGCACGCTTTCATCAATGAAAGCCACACCAAAAGCCGAACGAGGCTACTATAGTTGTATCATAATACACTGTCCCAGCTTGAAATTTCCCTAACTTTTATCCAAATTGACAACTCAAAACCATTTTTTTTAGAATAAAGAAACTTTATATTACTTCAGTTCTGAACATGAGTCTTGCTGAATACATTGAGATAAAAAGTTAGGGATATCATGCAACCACATACATTCAGAATTTGAAAGCAAAGCAAACTTGGCTGTATAATGCGCAGCCATGTTTGCTTCCCTTCTTACATGAGCCAAAACGAAATGTGTGCATTGTTGACTAAGATCTTGGATTTGATTTAGCACTGGAATAATAGCACACCTATTAATAGTTCTAGAGTTCCATAGCGCCACTAATTCTTGGCAGTCCGTTTCAACAACCACCTTTGACAGTCCGAGATCCTTTATCATTAGCATTGCATCACGATAAGCATAAGCTTCAGCAGTAAGTGCATCAGTAATCGACCCATGTTGTTTACATTTGGCTGCTACGACTTGACCTTGTGCATTACGTAAAACCACTCCCGAGGCACCATTTTTTTTTCAATCAGTTCGTTCTACATTTTGCAGCAAAACACCTATGCTGACTATCCACATTTCAGCAGCACTGAGCACTCTATCTAGAGGAACACATGCTGACATGGCTCGGTACACTTGCTGTCACTGACGAGACGAGACGATAAAGTGATAACCATAAGAACGTTAAATTAGTTCTGTGTACTCCCAGTTACTCACTTAATCTGATCAATGAAAAATAAGGAGAACTCAAAAGAAACGCAAGCTCACCTGCACCCCGTACCTCCGGACGTTGAGCCTGGCGACGCCGATGGCCACCTCGCTGACATCCGTGGCGAACACCTTTCCTCCGGCACCGAGCTCCCTCGCCACAGCCACGGCGATGGCGCCACTCCCGGTGCCGAGGTCGGCCCACCACCCGTCGGCGAAGCCCTCGACGGCGCGCACCATGTCGACGACGGCCTCCGTCTCGGGGCGTGGGATGAGGACGCCCTCCGCGACGGCGACCACCAGGTCCCGCCAGTGCTCGTTCCCGACCACGTACTGGAACGGCGTGCGCTCCCGGACGTGGCGCACCCACAGGGCCTCGAGGTCCTCGAGCGGCGCGCGGAGGAGCGCTGGGCCGTCATCGGAGGCGGCGGCGCTGGCGTCGGCGAAGAGCCAGCGGAGGTGGCGGTGGAGGTGCGGCGCGGAGGGCGGGACGAGCGCGGACGCGCGGCGGCGGAACGCGGCGAGGGCGGCGGGCGGGACCCGGTGGGACGCTGGGCGGAGGAAGAGCGGGGTGGGGTCCGCGTCCTGCGCTGGGGTGGGGTCGGCAAGGGGAGTCGGCGGCGTGAGTGGGGAGGCGGAGGCGGAGGAGAGGGGTTTGGGGAGGAGGAGGCGGTGGAGGTGGGGCGTGGGAGGCTTCGAGCGGAGGAAGGCGGCGGAGGAGGAGGACAGGGGGCGGGAGGAGAGGGCGAGCATGGCCATGGCGGAAGTGGCCGTCGGGTTGGGTTGCGGGCGAGGACGGGGACGGGGACGGATGGAGATGGGCTTGCCGGGCACAAGCGCAAGCCATTCGGCCCATTAATGTTATCATCGGGCCGGTCCAAGCGGGTGGCGCGTAGACGACGAGAGAGCTCCACTCAAAAGACGACGAGAGAGGCCCGAGACGCCGCAGGCAACTTCAATGAAGCATGCCGCCGCTGCTTCTGCCTTCTGCCCTCGGAGGCTCTGATGCTGCGTGCGGCCAGGCAGGGTCGCTGACGGATCCGGGAAAGCATACGTCGACGATGCAGAACAGGTCGGTGCAGGACATCGGAGCAGCGGCGGCGCAGCGATGCAGAGACGACCACAGGTCGGTGCAGGAGGTAGCAGCAGACGATCTGCACGCGGTGTAACCTGCAGATGCCGCTGCCTCTGTGCGGCCGATCGCCGGCGCCATTGATCAGTGTACTAGCAAACCGGCGTTGACTTGAGAGTTGACAGGCCCGAGATCCGTCCACTTCATCGGATCGGAGCTGTTGGTGCAGTAAGGCTAGCTCGAGTATTATGATCACTACTTCCTGCTTGTGCTAGCTCGAGTACTCGCATTGCAGGTTGCAGCATGCATGCACATTTATTTGTCACACACAGATCACAGATAATAACAGTAGTACTAAGTTTGTTTAGTCTCACACACAAACAGCAGTGTCATTGTCTCCAACTCTCGATCCACGGTACACAGATACTTTTAGAACATAGCAAGGAACAGCAAACATCTCAATGTCTCGAGTCGTTGTGGCACACAGGTGCAACGGAAAAGCAACTAATAATACGTAGTAGGATAAAGGCGCCATCCGGCAGTGGCGTTGACGAGGGCTTGGACAGATGCCAGAGCGAGGCTCTGAACCTCAGGAGCAGAGCATCAGATGAAGGTCCAGTTGACGAGCATGAGCGCCAGGCACTGTGGGGCGCCGTCATCGCCCACCACCTTCCACGCCTCCGCCTGCTCGTACGACGCCTGCCGCCCCATGCTCGACCTGCACACGCCACCAGGAAGGTATGCCAGGCCCTGCTCACAAAGGTAGGAGACGCAGATCAGCCTAGGTTTCAGACTAGCAATGTCGTTGTCAACTTGGCCATGGGTGGTACGAGCATAGTACTAGTACCTGCTGCATGATCTTGGGGAGCTGCGCGAACAGGGCCTTCTGGCCGTCGTCGTCAAGGACCGCCTCCAGTGGCAGGTCCTGGATGTTCACCACCGTAGTCTCCAGGATGTCGAAGCCGGCGCTGTTGGCAAACTTGAGCGTGAAAGCCGGCTGCAAGCAGGTGGCAATGCCCCGGTTTCAGGTTATGGCATAAGCTATTATTATCGGGAAGGGTGGCGATGGAATCAATAAGCCTACAGCATGAGACACACAGCATCGACTGACCTTCAGAGAGCAGCAGAGTATTGCGTCGCTGTGCTTCCAGAAAGGCATCAGGGGAGAGTCCGCGCCTTCGGTGTCCGACCAGCGGATCTCCGTTCCAGTGTGCGCCCTGGAATTTCAAAAAATCATCAGAAACTCCATACAACTTGATAGCACGTAATTCCAGGGTAATTCTATGGACCAGGGTAATGCTGGATGAAGAGAGGATTAACAATTCCAGGGTAATGCTGGATGAAGAGAGCATTAACAATTCATGTTCCTGGTGTCAATCCATGTAGGTGAGTAGAGTTCTACCTATAGCTCCTGCCAATCCATGTAGCTAGGGCAAGTGCCTCAGGAGAGCCCGGTGGATGCTTCAGTTGGATATGCAAGCCAAGGCGAGATGGAGCAATCGCCATGGCCACCCTCTGCACAGACGCCATCACACCCCTGACATACTGCCTGGACATTGCTGCCACGCTTTCACGAAGGTGATTCTCGAACGAGAACTGGAAGGCGATGGTCAGGACCGATCTCGTGGTGCACGTGCCTGAACCATCGCTTAAAGCACGCAGACCACCTGATCCAACCTCCAGTGCAGAAGCAAGGTCGAGTGTACGTGTGGCAGATGGCACATCCTGCAATTCGAGTGCATAATGTATATATATTGTATTAAACAGTGTGGCAAGGACAAGATGTGACACCAGGAGTGACGATCTAGATCCAATATACTCACCGTCTTAGCGTCAAGCGGTATCACACGGAAGCCTGAGGGTAGCAAAGGTGCATCGTCAGCAAAAGATTCATCAATAGGAGCAAAGACAAGCTGTGCACATGCACCAGGTGCATTCTCATCAACGCCACTGCACAACTGCAATAGCAGATAATGTCACACAATCATAAGGTTGTGAGAAAAGCATGAACCAAGAAGCAAGAAACAAATTGGAAAGCATCACACCTGCAGAAGAAACATATCCCGAGACAAAAGAACATCCTCATGGCTAAAGCCATGTCCTTCAAGCCTAATAACCTCCAAGCACTGAAATTAAAAGAGTAAGTTAGATGGAGCTCATATTGGACATTAACAAGACAGACGAAACGAACCATAATCAATAGATTACCTCTTCATGCTCCAAGGTGCGTGCAAGGGGTAGTATAACCTGGTTGCCCATAAACCCACCAGCCCTTAAACCAGGAACAGCATAAGAGTTGGCCCTCAAAGAGGCAGCAGAATAAGCATCAACACCAGGATCAGCCCATTCAGAGCGATGCTCCCTCAAAAATCGCGCACAAGTATAGCAGGTGGCACATTCTACAATATCAAAAGAAGTACATTGGGGTAAGGTTAATTATACCACAAAAACAATTTTATGCAAGGAAAACTACCATAAAGATTGTTCATTTAGTATTGTAACAACTAACAAGCAACTAAATGGACTATAAGGTTACGTAGCATGGAACAAAATTGAGTGGAATGTACAAACCTGCAGTAGCATTGATGCTTTTGCGCACATGATGCCACCCCCCATAGCAGAAAAGAATGGGGAAGGGCTGACTTGAGATCCAATAGGTTTGTTTGGAGGTGAGTTGATTGTAATTGTAATATCCTCAGCACCATCACTGCTCAACAAAGGAGACCAGCCATCGTCTGGAAAGCCACTCACAGCATCATTGAAGCCTCTGCAAATTAGAGTTTAGATTTCAGACCAGTGGTAGACAAGAATGGAATGCTATTACAAGACACTCTTGCAGATGCTTGGAAGGTCAAAAGGCTATTCCATCTTTTACACACCTGCTGAGCCTTTGACTGAAAGTTCTGAGAACAGCCGGTTGTCGACCAACACCATACGGCATTTCACCACTTGATTCATGTGCAATTTGCCTAATGTGTCGCAACGCCTATACAGAAACCAGCAGTGTCACTGGTGCATCAGTAAAATTACAGATTCAGGAGTACCACCAAAGCCCAACAGCTGCTTAGCAACAATGAAATTGAACAGTGACACATACCGCAGCAGTCATCTTCTGTGCCAGTATCTTAGGACATTCATAGAGTGGTCGAAGAACCTCGGGCACACTAGAAGCCTGTATTAGAACACAAGATAATTTAGGCACATATCTGCTAAAAATTCAAAAATGAGTAGATGCATATCTTAATAAACTAGCCAAGTGCACATTCATTAGTATGAAAGACCCACTGCTACTTACATTCAGATCAACATGATCCACAATGTAAATCATGGAACCTCCCCCATCACAAGGTCGAATCAGATAACCACTAGGAAGCACCTCAGCTCTGATAAAATTTGGAGTGTTAGGTCCAGAAGGACCTCCAGTGGACTGAGTCAATGACCTTTCGTGAGATCTACAGAAGACACAGCCACATTGTTACCAGTACTGCATTAGGCAGCAAATATAATGATCATGCAAAAGAAGTGGCAGCCAAGCATCAATTAACACATTGGTATTACTAAGGTCAAAAGACAAAATTTTACATCAGCTTTCACACTACAGTGAAAAAGGCAGGTAAAAATTGACAGCAGGGAAGTTCAACAAAAAATTACGCTTGGTTGGAACATGATAATGAGACCAACAGTATGCATTAAGTCAATCAGGTAATTAAGGCATACCACAAGACTGCCATCATCAAGACCACTAGTGTATCGGAGCGTCCAAAAGTCGCGCGGTTCCGCTAGAGTTGTCAGGGCATAAGTCTACAGATTAAAACAGAAATTATCACTATCAATAAAAGCATAGTTACTAGTACTAGTACATAATCAAGCACGTAAAAAAAGACTGAACCTTATGTCCAGACATATACCTGCATATAGATCAGCTCAATCGTTCCACCGTTACCCGTAGGGGATAACATGGAGGATATCAACATGCCGACAATCGCGATACCACGATGCACGATCCTTAAGGATCTCAGCAACCTAAATGGAAATTAATTAGATGTGTCACGCTGCAGAAGCTAAAAGAAAACGCAAGACCAATATAAGAATCAACATACCTTTGTGGGCTCAAGGCTCACAAGGCCGCAAGCTCGTGCTGCTACGCCACTGCAGTTGTGCGAAACAGCGATGATTCCAACGGAATCCGGACCAGGCTGTGATCAGAATCACATTTGAAAGGGTCAGAGATATCAACATCAGGTGCATCACAATATTACAGTGTATATAAGTACACTGTCTACAAAAACAAGTACATTACCTTCATCCCAACCATCTGCACCCAGTTGACAGCAGTTCCAGTCGCCTTGGACATGAACTCTGCCAATGTCTCCTCAGCAATAGCGAGTAGACTGGACAAAAGAAAAATTAGCATTAGAGCAAGCATAGAGTTTGAACACGAATGTAATCACGTTTCAGACTTACCCTGCTGGGTTGTTCGCATCCCTTTGAGGAGGATGCAGAACTGCTGGGTTTTGCTGTTGGTTGTGCTGACCACTTGTCACCACAGACTCACAGCTTGTGTCGGTGGTGGCTACAGAAGGCTGCAAATTTACAAGCAAATGTTAAAGCAAGCAAAATAAGATAATGCATAAGCAGGTTAAAAAACAACTATTATAGGCATGGAAACAATACTGTAACAGACTGAGCTCAAAATGCAGCAAGCCATGCATCAAGAAACCAAACCATTTTTAGTTCAAGCCCATGTACAGTAGAAAAGAGAGAAGGAGCTCACACTGTGGAGTCGATTCTTCATATACCCGTTGTCAAAGACGAGACGGGACACCTGCTTCTGCAGCCGGTCATTCTCCTCCATCAACAGCTTATTCATCGCACTCAGCTTCCTGTTCACGGTTTGTAGACGAGAGGACTCCTTGCGCTGCTTCTCCCGGCATCTGCCAAAGACAATAGAAACACGATTTAGTGGCAGGCACACCTGAAAAGGCAAACAACTAACAAACAGTGGCTTCCAATACACGGGATTCCCTTGTAGTTCTTGATTGGCATAAACCAAGAATGAACATAAAGAAGGCATTTCAGTAATTTTCTCTTATGGCACGAGCGGGTCATTATACAGGAATGTATGGAAAAGGTGAAGCAAAAGAGTCAAAATGGATACTATGTGAGAACCAATTTATGTGAATCATTGCCTAATTGAAAGTGATGTGTGTGTGTGTGTGTGTGTGACTGCATCTACCAAGTCTAGTCAAAATTAGCACTTCCTGAGCCCAGGGTAAAAGATTATTGGCTCCTTTTACCCTTCACCAAAGCTTTTTGCTTAAAAGGTGTCGTTATTCTCATTCTTGATTCTCCCACAGTGGCCGTGAGGCACCACCAAGAACAAAACTGTTACCCGACGTTTAATCCGCTGGGAAAGAAGCAAAGTGACATAGCCTACGAGGTGATGTTCAGAGGGGCCTGAAGGACAGCGAATGCCACCACCACCACTGAAGTGGAAAAGACGGGCCTCAACCAGAATGTTGTTGGATCAGTCAACAAAGATACAAGAACCCGAGGATTTTGTGGTGCCGGACAACTGTCACCTTTTTCTATTTTCCGATCTCATGATCTCAAATTCAGTACTGACACTTCGGTCTACTTCAGTGCTACTTATGCATGATTAACTAGCAACTTCTTGACTAACACAAGTGACCCTACGTTCTTGACTTCTTGGCATACATGTGAAAGGTTGACACCTCGCATTCACGCTTGTGCTAAGCAACAGGATGAAACCTAACAAATGCAAACAGTGGAAACAAGAAACTGCCTGGTAGCAAGTCATTGTCACCACGAACGGCATGACATTTGCAAGAACACATAAGCCAAGTAACTTTCCCTATATAAATCTGACAAAGACGGTCGCTTTAGTACCCTACCTAACCCACACATGGCAAAAAGTATGGGATACGGAGACTGGAGATACAGGAACACATATCATTGTGCAGAGCTTCTCAAAATCTTGTCTAAAAGAATCGAGGAAATGGGAGAGCGCAGGTTCAAGCAAACCAACAAGGTGTTCCCTGTTCGTGGTTCGTTTCACACAAATCTCTGAAGAATAGAATACACAGAATTTCCCCACCAAACATGGCATCATTGCCACTGCAGAGAACACCCAAGATCACTACAAATCAACCCTAGGAAACTCCCAAAATGATAAACAAAAACGGCTAAAAAAAACTTGCAAAGAAAGAAAGGGGAATAGGCAAGTAACGGACGCCCGTTCCAGAAATCAAGCGAAGAAACGGACCAAAATCACACGAAACCAAATCTCTCACAGCACAACTGCATAAAAACTGCTCCTATCTACCTTTTCACTCGACACGCCTCTCTTCTAGCACGCACGCCAAGATCACGCAATGTGTTGACCCCAAAGAAGCCAGAAGAGAGTAAAACCAAGGAAGCTCGCAGATCGAGCGTGGGAGGAGTCACGGCAACTGACTGACCTGCGGTTCTGGAACCAGACCTTGATCTGCTTGGGCTCGATGTTGCGGAGGATGGGGCAGTCCCGGATGAGCTGCTGCCGGCGCAGCGAGCTGGGCTTGGGGCACTCGCTGTAGACGCGCTCCAGCGCCTCCACCTGCTCCTGCGTGTACCGCACGTACTTGCCCGCGTCCACCTGCGGCGCGGCGGCGGCGCCCGGGGAGAGCCTCCTCTCCCTGCTCGCCACCATCGCCATCGTCGCCGGCGGGCACGCCTAGTAGTGCAGGAGAGGAGAGGAAGCGGAGCAGCAGCCAGCTCCCGTGCGCGCTCCTGCCATGGGGAGTCGGTGGTGGGTGTGCTCGCGTGGGGTGGGAGTGGGGAGTGGAGTGAAGGGGAGGACCGGAGAAGGAGCAAAGCTCTGGGCTTGTTTAATAGCCGGACAGTACGGCTGCTCTGCAGCAGCAAGGAGTGGCTTTTTTTTCAGTTTTTGGTCACACGCAAGAGAAGAGCTCTCTCTCTCACCTTCAGTTGGTTTTTATATTTTTTTAAAAGTTTTAGGTTTATGATTGCTGCAGGTGCACACAACATGAAAAATTTTCATTTCATTTTCAGATTTCATTCTTCATGTCATGGAGTTTTCTTGTGAGGCCCCTTTACTGAAACAAGTGATATATTTCTGAATTTCTTTGGGCGTTTGGACTGAAAAAATGTGTTTTTTTCTCACATGGAGATCTTTGTGCCACAAACCCGGCAATAAAAACTGAGCAGAACGCCCCTTTCGAAACATGAATTGCTGTAAATTTATTCATCTGGAAAAAAATACCACTGGAATCCACACAGAGGCGTTTGAAATAGGCACGAAACAGCCTCTCAATTCCTAAATCCAAACTTTTATATTCGAACAAAAACACTGAAAAAAAAACATATTTTTACCATTTTGGATTGCTATGATGTAGCAAGATTGGCATGAACTCTCCCACAAACGGCTTGTTCGTTGGTTGGTTTCAGGATTAATAAATCTACTGATACTGATTTGTTGTGAGAGAAAAATATTGTTGACCCATAATTCCTAGCTTAAACAAGAATGGAACAGGATGAAAATTTGAAATATGCCAGCCACTACGAAGTGTTCATTCAAAGCTTGAGCACAGCTAGTACTATAGCGTTGTTTAGTTGACGAAATTTTTTGAGAAATAGTACTGTAGCATTTTCGTTGTTATTTGACAATTAGTGTCCAATCATAATTTAATTAGACTTAAAAGATTTGTCTCGTGAATTTCGTCTAAACTGTGTAATTAGTTTTATTTTTTATTTATATTTAATGCTTACGTCTAAAGTTTCGATACGACAGAGAATCTAAAAAATTTTGTAAAATTTTAGAAACTAAACAGTCACTGTATACTGTCCGGAACAGAAAGGTTTGGTAGAGTTCACAGGATGAGTGGCAGCTTTAAACAGCATATAAAGCCCTGTCAAAGCGAGATTCTTTTGGCGCCAAGTATTTTTACATCACGCTTTTTAGAAGTCTGTGTGGCTGAGTTCTGAACGAGCATTTCTCTTCTCTCTGAATGGGAGCATGGCTTCTATTCTTTTCAAGATTTCGGCTCTTTCTATGAAAAAAAATACACGCACGCTGCTGCACGAGCATAGTATATGCACAGTGCGGCAGTGCCTCATAACCTGAATCCTAACCTGATGGGTGATGGCACTGTCAGCTCAAATCAGTCAAAGTGCCTCTAAGATACTCCTACTCCTATGTATAGGGCTAGTCCTAGCGAAATGAGTTCTTTTACCGGCCATGTCACCAGCTGAAAATGCAAATGCTGTATTGGTGCAAGGCGTATAGCTCCGTTCGCGACGATAGAAAAAAGACAAAATACTATTTCGATTGATTTGGTGTGAGAAAAAAATATTATTTTGATTAAAAAAATAAGTTGAAAAAAGGATCGGAAGATAAACGAACAGGGCCCTACCATGCGGTTCTGCAGCTTTCTAATCAGCCTTCGCACAATGGTAGGAACTAGTATTAGTACTAGTTTCTTCACATGTTTAAGCAGACGCCGCTGTGGAGTGTGGATGAAAAAAAAAATCTTTCAAATTCTGAAACAACGACAACATACACGCTCGGTTCTAGGATACTACTTTACCGGTACTTTTTATCGAACCTATAGTATTTTTCTTTTACAATAAATTTATCGGTGCGAAAAATAATCAATACGTAAATATTTGTAGTTTTATCGTACATTGTGATCGGATGTAGCCTAGCACTCGATGACACAGGGTTTATACTGGTTCAGGCAACGTGCCCTACGTCCAGTTTGAGTCGGTCGGTGACTTTATTCTTGAGCCCAGATGCTCGAAATTTGCTGTGAGGTTACAAACGAGATAGAGTAAGATGGATGTATCAGAGGTCCGGTCGGACTCCGGATCGAAGGGCCAAGAGTGGCGGAAGCTCTAACATGCACTAAGTATTGGAACGTATGCTCTGTGTGGCTTTATAGTTCTAGAGCCAAGCAGAGTGAGAGTCGGAGTGAACCGTCGTAATCGATCCTGGAATCGACGTCTGTGTTGTCTATCATCGAATAGATCCTCCTTTTAGGAGAGAGCGCATCCCCTTTTGGCTGCGTTCGGCTGGTGGAAATTTTAGCCGGAATTCACTGTTCACAGCTGAAATTCATTGTTCACGCTCTCACAAATTACTTTAGATTCATCCAGATTTCTCCAAGCGAACAGGCCCTTTATAGATAAAGGGGACGGATTTACAAGTGAGTGAGAGAGTGTGTGCGCTACCTAGTCTTGTTGCCCACGCCGTCGAGTACAAGACGGTTTGTCGGCGCCCACAATACTGTTGACGCCCAGATGCATGTGATAGGCTTCATCGTCTTCTTCTGATGTGGCAAATGTCGGCGCCTACCATACTGTAGGACAAATATCGACGCCTACAGCACTGTTCGTGTTCTAACATGTCTGGAAGGTTGCAGAGCACCCTTCTGACATGGCCTGACAGTACAGTCCTATAGGAGTGTAGGGTACGGTCCTCAGTATTGCGGTTTGACTTGAGAGCCTCACCTTATCTGCTCCGCCTGATTTTTGGGTCCTTTACCGAGCGGGCATCCCCGTTCAGTCGTTTTTCAGTCGGCTCTGACCGCGCCGGTCGAAGAAGAGCTGTAAGTAGAGGTTCGGTGTATCTCGATCGAAGAAGCGGGTCGGAATCAGAAGCGAACGTCGCCCCTCCTCGACCAGGCCTTTCAGTCGGAGACTGGATGGCTCTTCTGTCCTGTCGTTAGGTATCTGGGGCGGCCTAGGAGTTGCGCGTCGTTCGCAACGTCGTCTGTTGGGCCGAGCTTTTGCTGGGAAACAGGCCAGTTAGGGATCCCGAGTTTATGAACCCGACAAAATCAGTATAGGCATCAGCAACAGCTAAAATTCAGCGAAACGAAACATACGAGTACTCCTCTTCTGGAGTTCAGAAGATTTAAGTTCTTAAAGCTGCTAAATTTTAGCCAGTTAAATCAGCTGCTAAACTTTAGTCACCGCTGTTTGGTTTGGTGGGCTAAAAGAGATTAAAAGAAGCCTTTAGTCCATTTTAATCAGGGTGTTTAGCTCCAAATGACTAAAAGGTGAGATAACCTAGTCTTTAGTCCCATTTTATTATAGTGTTTGGGTAAAAAATGACTAAATAGGACTAAAATTAACCCACTAAGCTTTAGCAGCCCAAACCAAACATCCTTTTATTTTCCTTGTGCGAGATGCATTCATTCAGATCCAGTGTGAAAATAGACTAAGGTCTTGTTTAAATTCAGGGTGTAAAATTTTGGATTGTCACATCGATTGTCACGTGGGGGTATCGCATAGAGTATTCGGATACTAATAAAGAAACAAATTACAGAATTCGTCCGTAATCCACGAGATGAATTTATTAAGTCTAATTAATCCGTTATTAGCAAATGCGTGTATTGTAGCACCATATTGTCAAATCATGGACTAATTAGACTTAAAAACTCGTCTTGTAAATTAGTCGCAAACTATATAATTAGTTATTTTTTAATCTATATTTAATACTCTCTATATGTGTTCAAATATTTGATGGAATATAGAGTAAACTTTAGCTCCATCTCAAGAACGGGTTGAGTCCTCGCTCACGTGCAATGCAAATGCAGTGTGGTGGTGCAGCTGACACTGACGGTCAGCCTGTTCGGGAGGCCGTATCGTATCGTGGATTATTTACTGCTGGCTGGTTTGGTGTGAGAGAAAAACACTGTTTTCGGCTGAAAATTTACGATCGTTTACGAGCAAACGAACAGGCTGAGTGCAGTGTCTGTGCATGCAACAAAACAAAACAATGGCCTATTGGCTTTTGGCTTCCGGGTTATCGAGTGGCGACCGCAGAGGATCCCTCTGGTCCTTGCCTTGCATTGCTTGCATGCCACATTGACGCTGGTCCAGCCAGTCCAGCAGCAGAGACAGAGGACTGCTGCGGGCGTCTGCGTGGACTCGGTTTGACCGGCCCGCCAGCCGTCGGATCTCGGTACGGACGGACGGGATGGAGCCGCCCGCGGATTCGTCCTTGCAGCGGCGGATCCCGGCGACGATTTCCGTTCGTCGGCTCCCACGCCCGCCCGCTGCATTTATTCCCTTCCCTTGCTGTCCTTGGTGTAGCTTCTCCTCTGATCCGGCGGGATTTTTTATTGGTGCCGTTTGAAGAATCCCATCGAGTCCACGCAGACATGAGTTTTTGGCTGCGAGCTCGCTCAAAGGGATGGAGCGAGCAAAACCCACTGCCGTAGTGCTTTACCCATTGCAGTACCATCATCAGCTTGCAGCTGTGTTTTATTCGATTCCATGCCTTGCCATTGCCACTGCTACCTTGTTTGCTCGTGATGACTGGTGAGACTGCTCCGATGATGAGACTGCTGAGAGCTTAGCTTAGCTTGCTTGGCTGTACGTACCCAAACGCATCGAGTCGGGGTCGGGCCACCACCAACCCCCGTCATCGATCTCTCCCTCCTCGTGTGCTTCGGCTTGCAGGCAGGGCGGATTTTTATCGGAACCAGCATGTCGGCCCCGCAAAATCATGCTTTGCGGCAGATGCGGATTAGCTGCAACATTTTCGCGGCATGATGTGTGCTGTTCCGCGAAGCCCATTGGACAAGAGGGCAAGCCCGCAACGTCCCGCAGGAACCCGCAACGATGGTTGTGTCCTGCCTGTGTCGAATATCCAGTATCCAGCGTGACAACCGCTCCTTGATCTCATTC